CAGACCGCTCGAGCGAAGAAAAGCTCGCTCGAGCCAAGAAATACAACTCTCAGGTCCAGAACCAAACGCAAGCACTCGCTCGAGCGAAGCCACTCTGGCTCGACCCACCAGACACGAACTCAACTCTCGCTCGAGTGACCAACTCCTCGCTCGAGCGAAGGGCCAAAAATCTGGGCAGCAACACTAGGCTCCCAAACACAACCAACCTGTAACAAACCTGCCCAACACATCCGACTGGAAAGTTAAGGGAGAAAAGATGATTCCTCCTGTTTTGTCTGTCTTAGTGCATGCCAGCTGTGCCAGCTGGAAGGCACAAACTAGATCCTCCATACACGTGTATGGAGGATTTGCAACCAAGTTTTTAGCTAACTATTTATTAAATGTGTTGTTAAGTAACTATTTTATAAGTACTATCATGGAAGTCCCATGTCTTGAGAGACTTAAATAACCATTGACCCTTTGAATTGTCACTTTAGTGACCCTCTAACGGTCCCATGTCTTGGGAAACTTAAATAACCATTGGCCTTTTGAATTGTTACTTTAGTGACCCTCTAACGGTCCCATACCTTGGGAGACTTAAATAACTATTGGCGTCTTATTAGTCACTTTGTGACCCTCTGTTTGTCATGAATCCATTGACTCTTTGTTCTGTTTTTTACCGTGGTTATAATTATTTTGTTATAATTATGCATTTTGTTTTATGTTATTTAAATGATTTACTCAAACCAAACTATTCTCTGTTTGGCCTAAATAATTATACATGGTGATTTTAAACCCTTATAGTCTCAGTATAATATTTCTCATTCTGCTTGTGCTTATAGCTGTGATTCCCTTTCAGGTGATGAAATGTAAGGAACAGTGGTAACCTCGTGTAATGGGACTAGCACATGACTTAATGTAGACTTTTTGTATTTTTTAATAATTGTCTAATCGTCAATAAAATAAATAAAAGTCCCAAGGAATTTTTTTTGTAACATTATTGAGTATTTCGATTATTTATTTACCTATTTAATTCTTTATCCCATCTCTACCTGCGCCATTTAATTTGTTAAAATTAGAATCAACTAGCTAGTTGCAAATCCAACCCTAAGCACCCGGAGTTGGATCGTGACACATTCTTTCTGGTCACTATAAGAAAATACACATTTGGCAACTAAAAAATTTGATCGACAAAGGTACAATCTTTAGCTGCTAAAACAATTTGGTCAGCAAAGGTACACACTTTAGTTACTAAAAAATAATTTGGTCGGCAAAGGCACAATCTTTGGCTACTAAAAATAATTTAGTTGGTATTTATTTTACTTTTGGCCACTAATTGAGTTTTAATCGTTAAAAATAGGGTTTTGGGTGGCTAAAAAAATCGGTCTCTAAATGTACAAAGTTTTGGCTACTAAAAATTTTTTTTTTTCGGTATTTATTTTACTTTTGGCAACTACTTGAATTTTAGTCAGTGAAAATAGGGAACTCTCGCTCGAGCGACCAACTCCTCGCTCGAGCGAAGGTCCAAAAATCTGGGCAGCAACACTAGGCTCCCAAACATAACCAACCTGAAACAAACCTGCCCAACACATCCTATAACTCAATATACAAAGTAAAGAGGATGCAAACTAGATAATAAACAACTACCAACATCCATGGGCACATGTCCGGATCACTGTACAACAAGGGTAAACCCGGGATCGCTATAATGGCAAGAGAGCTTATGATTTTTTATTTTTTTTTGGCACCGTTTTAAGGGAGTATAGTATTCTATGTTGTATTTCAAAAAATTCTAGTCAATGTATATATGTGTGCATTACTTTAGTTGTCTTCATGAAAAAAAAAAAGTGTATTAAACTTATAAGTATTTAACTTAACACAAGTATTTAACATAATCCGTTATAGATATCCTACAAGTATTTAACTTCACCAAGTATTTAACTTAACCCAAAAAAATGTATTTAACATTTTGTTATAAAAAAAAAAAAATTGTACCATTCAAATGTAGTATATTTGTTGTGTGATTATAAAAAGAAAGTGACTTTTTTTTTCATTTATTTTTTTTTTTTGGAAGACTTGGCATTTTAACATTTATGTGTAATATGGCAAGAGAGTTTATGTTCTTTTTTTTTTTCCCACCTTTTTAAGGGAGTATAATATTCTATGTTGCATTTCAAAAATTCTGGTCAATGCATATGTGTGTATTACTTTAGTTGCTTGATGAAATAATTATTCATTACTGTTTATAAAATGGCTTCTTATGTAGTGAATTTTTTTTTTTTGGCATAAATTTATGTTTGGACTTTCCAAGTCATAAATGGTGAACTTCAAAATATATGATTATAATGGGCTTTAATTTTGGTTTTAATTTCATCTCTATAAAATTGAAGTCAGTTAAGAAAGAGAAAAGTTCAAATTCGGACAATTATTGTGCTCGAGTTTTAATTTATCATTTTAATGTGATTGTTAAAAAACATCTATTCTAAATGCTGGGCTGACTCAGAAAATGTGAGTCTGATTGTGGGTTTCTCAAAGAATGTAGGGAGAGAGAGAGAGAGAGAGATAGAGATAGGTTATTTGGAACTTGGTTTGTGATTAGTTCTTTGTATTGTACAAATTAGTCTGATAGGGAAGGAACTATTTGTTTGGAGCTATTTAAAAAGAAAGTAAGGGTGATTTATTTAGTTGATCTTCCTGCAACAAAAAAATTAAACTGACACTTGGAAAAATTTATTTAACATTTTATTTGCTGTGTAATATATTTATTTAGTTGTACCATTCAAATGTAATATTTATTTGCTGTGTGATTCTAATGTACAGATGATAAATATTTTTCATTTAATTTTTTTGTGAATATTTAGAGTTCCTAATTAAAAGAAAAATTTGAAAGACTTGGCATTTTAACATTTATGTGTAATATGGCAAGAGAGTTTATGTTTTTTTTTTTTGGCACCTTTTTAAGGGAATATAATATTCTATGTTGTATTTCAAAAATTCTGGTCAATTCTTATGTCTGTGCGTATTACTTTAGTTGTCTTCATGAAAAAAAAAATGTATTAAACTTAACGCAAGTATTTAACATAATCCGTTTTGTTTTGAATCAAATTCACCGAGTATTTAACTTAACCCAAAAAAATGTATTTAACATTTTGTTATAAAAAATTTTAAAAAAAAATTGTACCATTCTAAACAGAGAAGGTACGTGCCTCTGGTATCTGTTGACCTTTTTCTTTTTCTTAGAAGTTTATATTTTTATTTATTTCTTTTCCTCTTGATTGTAACCTGTTAAGTATTTTCTATTCATGGTAGTTATTTATTTAAATAAAATTTTGAATTTTATTATTCGATTTGGTAGCAACATATTTGGAAATAACATTTCATTGCCAATGAAATCCATGTTAACTCTTATTATTACTAATTTTTTGTTTCTTTGTGTCTAAAATTATATAACCAAACATTTTTAGGTTGAAGTACAACAGTCATGAACAATATCACTATTTTTGGTCAAGTAAGTTTTTTTTCTTCTTTTTTCTCTTCATATAAATTTAAGTACCTCTCTTATATCACTATTCTAATTATTTTTTTTCCTCATACTTTATAGGTGGATGGGGACTTACACCGAACCGTAATATCACCTCCCTTTACTAATTTTCTTATTTATGTGTATAAAGTTTTATTTATCACTCTAAAGTTTTTGTATGTATAGGCTCGATTTCTTCAAGAAAGAAATGTTAATGTTATTATTCGCGATGAGTGCGACCTCAATACTATTCGCATTCATGAGGTAAGCCTAAAAGTCACTTGAACATTGGACATGTATTTTCTTATCATTTTAAAAATAATTTATAAATATATTCTACTTATTTTTTACAGGCAAAGGCAAGGAAAAAGACAAAGCAATATCAAAGGAAACAAAAAAAGCTATTCCTTATGGCAAAGGAAAGGAAAATGCACATCCCATGGTATGGTTTCTCAACAATTTTTAAAAGTTTCTTTTTCGAATATTATATAGATTTCTTTAGGAATTGCATAGTGTCATATACTATTTTTTATGTACATTTTTCAAAAGTTTCTTTTTCAAAAATTTATTCAATTCTTTTTATTGAATGTGAATTGTTTTCCTGAAGCATGTTAAAGTAATCATTTGTACAACATGCTAATGCATTTGTATGAACATTAATTTGAATTTTTAATATGTTTGTCTATTTGTATGATAAAAATATGTTGCATTTGTACAATATATTGCATCTACAACAAAGCATAATAAAAATATAATAGAAGAAAACGAAAAAGGAAAATAAGAAGAAAGAACAAATATGTGATGAAAAGGAAACTACATAATATAATTTTTTTTAATTTTTATTTTTCTTATAAGAAGTTCTTAAGGAAAGAAGAAAAAGACAAAAATACATTTTAATATAATAGAAACAACAAGAAGAGAGAAAAGGAAAGTACAAGACATTACATGCTAATATTCACATTTTACGTACCCAATGATCTAATATTTACCTTTTCAACGTACATTTTGTAAAGAGATGGGTAGTGTCTTAAAACCAATAAGTGCGTGCATAGTGAGTTTGCAGTTTTGTGTTTTCAAATTATTTTTCCCTTCCTTTTTAAATTTCATAAATACATGCATTGGTTCTTATATGACTAACAACTTAACCGAGTGAAGAGAAAAAGTTAGTTAATATTCACATTTTATGCACCTTCTTATATAATATTCTTATTTTAGGCACACAATGATAATGTGTTATCAAAAGCTGCATTGGCCCAACGTGCACGGCGAGAACGTGAAAAAAATCAAAAGTCATGTTCTGCATACCAATTGGGACAACGCCTGCGACGAGAACGAGAAAGAGAAAGATCGAAGGAATGTATTAACCCAAGACAACCTTCTTTAACACCAAATTGGTAAAAAGAAAAAGAATTTTTTACCCAAGACAATCTTGAATTTTTTACTCTTACTATTTCCACTTTATTATATAGATTTTAATTTGTTCACAATCTATTTCTGTAAGCCTCCTCTTACAACTCCATGTAGAAATGTTGGTGTGGTCATCCGTGATGAGCACGACCTTAATGTTATCCGTGTTCGTGCGGTAAGTACAAAATCAAGTCAAACATTGCATGTATTTTATTTATATAAGATTTTTTTAATCTTTTCAATATTTTATTTATATTTGTTAGGCAAAAGATAAAGAAAAGGTCAACCCAATGTCTAAAGGAAAAGAAAAGATGGCTCCTTCCGGCAAGAGAATGACAAATGCATGTCAAGTGGTATATATTCTTTTTTTAAAATATGATACAAAACTAATCAAAATTTTGAATAGTTAAAATATATGAGTGTATAAAATGAATTTATTGTTTTATGTTGTTTTTGTAGAATGATTGTAATATGTTTTCCTGTAACTTGCTATTATTTGTATGTGTTTTTCAAATTTATTTATTCTTATTTTGTATAGATACATGTGCATTTATAATGTACCATCCATAAGTTGCTACTTATATAAAGAAAATAGAAAAAAAGAAACGAAGAAATAAAGAAAAAATATATAAAGAAAGGAGAAACTATAAGATAGGTTTTTAATTCTTGTTTAATAAATAAAATAGAAAACAAAGAAAGGGAAAGGGAAAGGGAAGAAATAAGAAGATAGAAAGGGAAGAAATAAGAAAAAAAGAAATAAAGATAACACTATTAAAGGTATAAAACAAATAAAATAGATAACAAAATTAAGAGAAAGGGAAGAAATAAGAAGATAGTTTCATTTTAAGCACAAAATATTCACATATTTTGCTTCAATGATAAAATATTTTCTTTTTAGGCATAAAATGATAATGTAATATCAAAAGCTACATTGGCCCAACGGGCACGGCGAGAGCGTGAAAAAATTGAATTTCAATGCTTGCAACGAGAGCAAGTGGGATTAGAAGAATGTGTTCAACTAAGACAACGTTGTTTAACACCAATTTGTCGCGATCGCACTCACTTGGAGTGGGAAACAATAACTGAAGATTCTCAGTCGGCACAAAAAATGAACAATGGTTACCCATCATTCTACATGTTCATTTTCTATGCCAAGCACATATTCAAATTCACAAAGGAATCGGTAAACTACTGTGTCTAATCTTGAAATACATACTTTTACTCATACCGTTTTGTTTTACAAAATTTTATTTATACAAAAATATTCGTAGGTCTACTCCTATAAATCGATTTCTTCAACAAGATCTATGTACTGATGATGAATTAGAAGATCTGCCTACGAGTATATCAATTGACGCCCGGGCACACAAAGATTCTTGCCGCCAATATCTTTGCAAGATGGATGTTTATGTCCTTATTGTTCAGCCTTACATTCGATGGATGAAAAATTGACAAAATCCTCTATAAAGCGTCCTTTATTCGGAACTTGCTGTTTGGAAGGAAATATTAGGCTACCTTTACTTATTACACCCCCTCCACCACTTCAGGCATTGTATGATGGGAATAATGATCAATCAAAATCCTTTCGAAGTTATACTCAAGTGTACAATGCAGCCAATGCTTTTACGAGTCTTGGTGCTACATTGGATCCTAGAGTACAAAGTGGAAGGGGCCCTACATCATTCACAATTCATGGGGAATTGCGACATCGAACAGGATCACTACAACCACAACCAGGATAGGATGCGAGTTATGCTCAGCTGTATATCTATGACCCTTATTCAGCTTTAGAAATTCATAATCGTAGAAATCCTAACTTGAGAAGGGATGTTCTCAAAACTATTCAGGATAGTTTGTTGCAAGTCAATGCATTTGTAGATAAATATCGCCAGGCGCATGCCATTTTACATCAATTAGACTCGGCAGGACACAATCTACATACTCATCTTCATTACAGTTCAACAACTAATCGACGTCGGTATAACCTACCAACTACAGATGAGATTACAATTGTAATACCAGGTGATGGAACAGAGATAAATGGAATGAGAGATATTATTTTACATTTTCGAGGAAATAATGAGTTGATGCAAATTAATGAATGTCACCCAGCATACTTGCCATTACATTATGTTCTATTATTTCCATATGGTGAGCTTGGATGGGAACCTGAGTTGAAATTGTGGAATGTTCAGTATGATCGACCTTCAACTGATCGACTTACTCAAATGAATTTTTATAGTTATCGTTTGTTTGAACGACCCACAAAGTATTCAACAATTTTGAGAGGTGGGAAACTATTTCAAGAGTTTTTGGTAGATGCTTGGGCTGCAACAGAGCAAAATCGATTGACATACTACAAGCTTAATCAAGGGAAACTTTGGGCTGAGCTTTACCAAGAGTTGTCAGATATCAGATATGGATCCAGATTATGTGCGACCTGGACAAATTGGTCAAAGGTTTGTTTTGCCATCTTCATTTACTGGTAGTCCTAGACATATGTTTGAAATCTTTCAAGATTCAATGGCTATCACACGATACAACCAACACCCAGATATTTTTCTTACCATGACTGCAAATCCCAATTGGCTAGAAATTACTTCAGTATTATTACCATATCAAAAACCTATTGATCGTCCAGATTTAATTGCCCGTGTTTTTGAGTTGAAGTGAAAATGTTTGATGAAGGAGATAGAAACAAATAAAGTGTTTGGAAATAAAGTTGCACATGTTTTTACAATTGAATTTCAAAAACGATGCCTCCCTCATATGCATGCACTTTTATTTCTCAAGGGTTCAGACAAAATTCGGACATGTGCTCAAGTAGACAAATTGGTCTGTGCAGAATTTCCAGACCCAAAAGATGATCCTATGCTTTTTGAAACTATCAAATGTTGTATGGTACATGGACCATGTGGTGCTCGAAATCCGCAAGCACCATGTATGGAAAATGGTAGATGCACTAAGAGATACCCTCGAGCTTTCACAGAAACAACAACTATGGATCAAGATGGATACCCTATCTATCGTCGTCGCAATAATGGTCAAGTACATACTGTCTCACAGTATGTACTTGACCATTATTGCGACGACGATAGATAGGGTATCCATCTTGATCCATAATTGTTGTTTCTGTGAAAGCTCAAGGGTATCTCTTAGTGCATCTACCATTTTCCATACATGGTGCTTAGCAATGAACTTGAATTCCCAAAACGATAGCCTTTGGACACCCACAAGAACTCAAAGCGTGAGACAGAACAATTGGGTTGGCTCTTAACTCTTCCCTATTTTGCCTAAACAACATCGAAAGAGGACCCTCCTTTGAGTTCAAATCAATGTTCATGTGAATTTGGTCGCAAAATGTCTTGAATGAGACAGAGATGGGTTTGGCGACCCCCACGGATAACACTTGGTTTTGGAATGACAAGCATGTAAAACCCTTGAAATGGAACAACTAATACTGCACGATTCTGCTAGTTTTGGATATTAATTTCAGTTTTTATCAATGTGCATTTGAATCTATAATGAAATGTAGATAGTCAAAAAAACATGCTTCTTGAAAATATTTTGTATTCAAAATATATATATATATTTTTTAAAAAAATACTAAAAATTAGTTTGGTGACAATTTTGATATCCACTTGTGTTTGTGATGGTGGTGGTGGTGTGGTGATTGTTGTTTGGTTGATAGAGGACAGAGGGTGGTTTGGGTGAGAGAGGACAAGAGAATAGGTGAATTTGAAACAATAATTTGAAATTTCAGGCCAAAATATATTTTTTTTTAACTTTTTCCATTTAAATGTGACAGTAGGGGGCAAATTGATTACGATTTAAATAGGTGAGGATAAATTGACAATATCAAAAGTTCGGATGTGAAATTGATTACAGGAGTATAGTTTGGGAGGAAAATGAAATTTCCTCTAAATTTTAGTTTAAAAATAATTTTAAAGTTGTTTCCCATATCTAAGCCCTATCGGGCCAAGAATAAAACCAGAACTACGCATATATTAATACGGGTTGTAGTGGACTCATCAATCAATTGATCGACACCGAACCTAACCAACCTGAGCAAAATTAGAGATGCAACTCGGGCGGGTTCGATCGGGTTGGGAGGTTGTCCAAGCCCAACCTAAGTTGTACTGAGACCTGCCCAGGCCAGCTCAGGCCCAAATTGTAACCTGAGATTGCCTGTCCAAGCCCGACCCGAGTTAAACCCGAATTGCTCAAGTTCCCCGAATTGTCCGAATTGTTAATGAATTTCAGTTTTTTTTTTTTTTTTTCCATGATTTATGTATTTCCCCGTGCGTGTATCCTATTTTGAGATGTGATGAAAATGAGAGGGGTTAGCAGGAGAAACTTGAAAACATTTAAGATAAAAGCAGCCTGCAGGAAACTAGATGGATGGAGGGTTTGAGACCTAACTGGGTTGAAAGGTCAGTTTTCTAGCAGATATCGCGACCTAAAAGGAAATTGCTGGCAGACATGTATATGACATATGTTGCTTTTACCTTTTTCGATGGTGAAACTGTTGGGAATAGGAGCAGATTAGAGAGCCTTCTTTGGTACTCAGCTTATAAGTTTGTTTATTGGCTTGAAATAAGTCCACAAATAAACTAGTGCTTTAGAAAGTTAGTTTGGCATATTTTTGACATTTGTAATTATTTTTGGCTTTAAAAAGTTGGTTTTTGACAGGAAAAAGAGTAGCCAAATGGGCTCTGGCATTTAAGCTGAAAGAGTACCCAACAACTTGAATTTATGTTAATTCTCAAAACAAATTAGCCCGTAGGCATATAAAACTAATAAAAATGGAAAATTCAAACAAGATATAGAAATAACTAATTTAGACTCCTTAACAAAATTCACCCAAAATCCAATTGGGTCCACTTCAAAGTGATGGATTTTGATCCAATCCATTTGTTTTACTAGAACCGTTTGGCCAACCACATCACGCCACCTGAGGAAGAGACCAAGATCACTCGAATCATTTGCGCTTCAAAGACAAAAATAGTAGGCTTCTTTGCATGTTGCATGTTGCTTGATTTAGACTGGGAGGAAAACTCCACAATATTTAGAGTATGTTCAAACAATTCATCAATAATTTCACTACCAAAATGTTTGGTGAAAATTCCTTCAAAGTCAGCTCTGAGGTGCATTATTTTTTGTTACATCCACAAATATATTTTTTTTAAAAATTTTAAGATCTAAGCACACCTTCAAGAAGAGAGTTTGAAGGTCCAAACCAATCCACAAGTGGTACCACGAAATACATTATGAATAAATGACATGAACTACAAAAGTGGAGTCTCAAATACTTTTGCGACTACAAGGTTGCCATTGCCATTTTTTCAACACAAAAACGCGTAGAGAAC